AAGAATTTTCGGACGAGGAAGGATACTTCAAAAACAACTAGCATGTTAGTTTTTTCAAGCGCTCTCAACTTATATAGATTTATATTCTCAATTCTAACATTTTCTTTAATTTATGCAGATGATCAATAGGGTTCGAGGTAGGTCTAGGAAGGATAAGAGGCATATTGATCATGATGATGGTGCTACACCCTCGCTTCCTTCCACTCCAGACTTGCATCCCTCCGCTGATAATGGCCGGCAGCAATCTTCTAGGCACACATCTATTCCACCACAACTATCTATTCATCAGACTACCTACGATTCACCCTCCCAGCAATATTATTACCATTCTCCACCACATGGCTATACCCCACTTCCTCCACATGATCCTGCATATAGTTACATGGGTCCATCGAGTCAGCAGTCACAGGGCCATGTGGTGATACGCCCGCCATCTGCTCCATTTGCTTCATCACCAGCTGGATCGCATCCATCTCAATTTCAGCCAGTCGGATCGCAGTAGGGGTCTAGATCGTTGCAGGGGTCTAGATCGCAACCATCTTCATCAGCGACCTCGTCTCCCTCTCCACGGAGTTTGTCTCCTAGCATTTCTAGACTTCACCTTCGGGATAGTAGCGCTGAGCCAAATACCTCCCCTTCTGCGCATGCTTCAGATTCATCGGAGGAAGATGATCCAGCGAAAGTGCGGTATGATCGTTATCATAGGATGATCATCAGGTCTGAGGGAAATGGGTAAGATGTATTTATTACTTCTTTGTTTTTGCTGAATTACAATAGCTAGTCTTGTTTATTTAATGTAATTGCTATGTTGCAGGTTCATACCTAATCATCGGACAACAAAGATAATCACTAAAGCTCTTGGCCGATCGTATGATGAACCTTATGCGACTTGGAGTGACTTTCCATCGAGCTCGTACAGTAAATTTTCAACCAATTTAAGGTTTTAATACAATTCTTATCTATTTAAGTATTATATTAACAATATTTTCATCTAACGTTACACATTTCATTTGCATACTAAGTGTACCTGGGAGGACCTGCATAACAGTGCCATTCTTATAAATTTTGAGTTCAAATGCCGTAAGAGACTATCTAATTCCTTCTATTGTGCTCAGAAGAAGAGCAAAAAGCCTTCATGGGTTCTACCTCACATATGGGAAGGTTTGTTGAGGCAATGGTCCACTAAGAACTTTAAAAAGAAGAGTGAACAGGGAAAGAAGGCCCGAGCATCTAAGAAGGGTGGCTCCTTGCACTATGTGGACGCAAGGAGCATGGGGACTACGAGGAGACTACTCGTAATTCCTTAAAATATTTAATTATATTTTTATAGAACTATATTTATATATTTTAATTTAGTTAACATGTTTTATTATATTTGTAGGAGAAAAATATGGGAGGAAGATGACTCATGATGAGTTCTTCATGGAGACTCACATATGGAAGAAGAAGGCACCGACAGATCCAAGTAGATGGATCGAGGACCGGGCGGAGACTACATATGTAAGTTTCATAACTACTATAACTTGAAATTAATGTTTATAATATTATATATTTAATAATTTTCTATCTTCTAAATAAAGGATCACTACAAGATTAATGTGGAGGGGTACACTCAGAGCTTGCCAGCGAATGAGCAAGGCGAGCGACCACCCGTTTCCGACGAAGAAGCACAGAAGATATGGTTGGATATTGTCGATGGTCCTAAAAAGGGGATAGCATACGGCCTTCCAGAAAGATCATTTCAGCGCTACTGGGCTGGATTGCAAGGTATACAGACTTCCGACCAAGGCGAGGCAATTGATAGGTCGACTCTCTCGTCTATGGAGAAGAAGATCGCAAAGCTAATAGCAGAACTTGAAGAGACAAAGGCTAGAGAATAAAAGAGAGATGAACAATTTGATACCCTTCAAGTTTAGCTAGAAAAAAGGAACCAACAATTTAATCTCCTTCAAGGTCAGTTGGCCAATCTTCTTGTTAGTGGTGCTTTCCCCATTTTCCGGTCTCGTGAGCCTTCCCCAGATGCTAATCCTTCTCGTCATGATCCTTCGAACCATGCCGACGATAAAGCTTCTAGTAGTGAAGATGGACATGATGCAATACAAAATACTCATTGAATGATGTGTATTGTTAAATACGATTTTGAACTTGTGAATATTTAGTTGGGAATAGTTTTGAATGTTGATTGTATTATTGATATTATTTTGTTATTGAACATTTGTATAGTTGTTGTTGTGGTTGGCGTTGTTGTTGTGATTGTTGTTGTGATTATTGTTATTGTTGTGGTTATTGTTGGTTAATTGTTATTGTTGTTGTGGTTGTTGTTGGTTAATTATTGTTGTTGTTGGTTATTTGTTGTTGGTTAATTGTGGTTGAATGGCAGCAATGTAATGCTGCCATTATAGGATGAATATTGGTTGTAACTGGCAGGTAGTGTAGCTTAAAAGCAGGCACATTCTACCTGGTTTTTATCCAGAAAACCTACCGATTTTGGTCGGAATTCTCATACAAAAAACCTAGAAATTCATATTTACCGACCGATGTCGGTCGGAAATTTCAATTTGAAATCTGCCGAAATTTAAATTTCCGACCGACGTCGATAGGAAATAAAGGTTTTTATTTATTTATTTATTATTTTATGTTTCCGACCGACTTCGGTCGGTATGTTAAAATTAAAATTATTACATATTTCTAATTCCGACCGATATTTTGAAAAATAAATAAATAAAAATTTAAATAATTCCGACCGATTTTGGTCGGTATAATTGTTTTTGTGAGTCAACCAACGGTTGAATTAACCGACCGAAATCGGTCGGAAAATTTCGACCACCTTCGATCGCAACGCCTTAGCGACCATTATTCTTCCGACGAATTAAACACGGTCGGAAATCGGTCGTTTTTCGTTTAATGTCGACCGATATCGGTCGGTATTGGTGGTCGAAATTTGGCAATTTTCTAGTACCGTCTCTCTAATTCCTTTTCTCTGGACAATGTTAATGGGTCGAGATCCTTACTATAAGTAAATGGGGATCAATTAGAAGCATTGGGAAAATAGGTTTCTGGTGTGGATTAAGAGCTAGGACAAGATGTCTTAGTTTAACTTCATCATAACTTCACTTAGATTTGGCAGTTTAAGCCTTCGGATTTCAGGAGATCTCAAGGACTGTCTTTATTGGTTGCTTCTTGGATAGTACTTTTATCCCCTTTTTGAGGGGTGGGGGTGTTGTACGGGGAAAACAGGAGTAATATTCATAAAGTCTTTGCATGTTGTTGCTTTCCTATGAGAAAGTTCTCAAAAGTGAGGTTTCATGCAGGGATCAGCTCCAATTACTGGTTTATCTGAATCGTCATCTGAGTCTGAAGACTATGAAGCTGATCATGCAGACAATCATGATTTAACGGATCTGTCAAAAATGGAGAGTCTGTATTTGACCGGTATTCTTGATGAGTTAAAGATGTGCTTCAATTATAGTCATGAGGTGAGTATTGGTGAAAACTATCAAGGACACTTTTTCTTGAAAAGCAGTGACTCCACTGACATGTATAATATGCTTTTTCGAAAGCCAGAGCAATGAATTTAGTCAATATGATGGAGAAGAGAAGTTTTATGAAGCATCTGAAAATTTAAATGACCTGGCTGATAGTCCGTATTCATCTGGAAATTTTTTGTCATCAGAAAAGACCATGTCAAAGGCTCCTAGTTTTAATCGTTTTGCTGGTCTTCTGCCTATTGATGTTCATGATAATGGAACTAATTCTGTAAAACTGACTGATACATTAGATAGTTTCGTGAAGGCTCAAGTGGTTATTTATGACCAGAAGTCACCTCGCTATACTAGCATTGATACAAAGGTCAACTGGTGTTTCTTATCTGGCTAAATCTGTTTACTTAGTTCTGCACTTAGGATTTCTAATTTAATACAGGTAGCCGTCACACTTGCTACCTTGTCTTTTTTCTGTCGTAGGCCAACAATACTGGCAGTGATGGAATTTGTAAATGCCATTAATGTGGGAGAGGAAAGCTGTAAATCTTTCAGTGACATTTCTTCATCAGCCATTACACAACATGATAGTTCCAAGGAAAATGTGGTTGATTCGCAGTTGTTTGAGACAGCTGATCTGCCTGCAGTGAAAGGTTTGCTTGGGAAGGGGAAGTCTAGAATTATGTTCGGTCTGACACTGAACATGGCTCGTGCCCAGATCTTGCTGATGAAAGAGGATGGATCTAAGCTCGCTACCTTGTCTCAGGATAATTTTCTTACTGATATCAACGTCTGTTGTTTCCATCAACTTTGATTTTTTTCCGTTGTCATATTTATTATGTGAGTGCAACTTTTCAATCTTGTTATCTCCTCGGATAGGTGTTTCCATCTTCTTTTACTATAAAGGCATCTCTGAAAATTAGTGATGACAGCCTCCCTAGCAACCACCTTTATTTCTGGGCATGTGATATGAGGAATCCTGGTGGTAAAGAGCTCCTGATATTTGTAGGTGTGCTAGAGAAAGGGATTTCAACTACATGCCCCTTGATCCAGGCATGATTTTGACATTGTACATTTGTACGTTAAGAAATGTAGAAGGGGCTATTGCTGAATAGAATTACTAATCTTGACTTGAGATATGCACGACATGAATGTTTTGGTTATATTAACTCTTACAGCAAGTATTACTCCTTTTGTCTATGAGATACAATTGACGTTTAGAGGTTAAACATCAAACTAACATTATATAACAAGACTTCCAAAAGAAGAGCAGATCGTGGTGTCTGTTACTAAAAGAAGTTAAATAATTTTCTGGGAACTTTTTCAACCAAACGCCACTGGGAAGAAGTTTTCAATTATTTGCAATGTTTTTTCAAAAAAAAGACTATCTATGAGCATCTACTCCCTCTGTCCACAATCCACAGTAATTGTCAATCTCTCAATTTACCTGCCCATACCATTGCTTCTTTAAATATGACTACTTTTATTCTAAAGGTACCCCTCACATATCGACCTTACATATAAAACATGAATGTCTGATACTGATTAATTGTAAAAGGACAATGCTGAAGGACAAAATGTTCCAGTTTGCTTAATTTGTGTGAAAAGCAAACATGATAGGGGACGAATCCAATAGTTAATTAACAAGTCTTGATAGAAGTAAAATAAAGAGGGCATTTGTTATTAGTGTATGTTTATAATGCAAATCCCTAATTCTCACTTTACTGATCCAAAACAGTTCCTAACATGGGCAATATCCCCTTGATGCAGTTGGCTGCCTTGTGAACAATTTCCATCCAAGAAAGTTCAAGAACACACGAGCGGAATGTTTTTCTTCATGAAAAGGACCACAACCAAATGATTTATTAGGCTTTCACAGGCTCAGCTCTGGGCCTCCAAAGTCCCAGCCTATATTTGTGAGTGTACTTCAATATCAGCTTCCTCTGCAACATCACAAGCAATATGTCAAGAAGGGGCTCGTGGATGCGAAAACACAGCAGAAGGGATCGATGGCTGTAATTTAAACCACAGTGCCCTGATAAATCAATGCAGCTATGGTGTGCTTATCTCCTAATCTTAGAAAGTGCATATAGGAACTAGTTCTACGCATTAGTTCACTCAGTTTCTCAGGGTTATCACATTGGCAAAGAATTAGGAATTGTTAACTGTTGAACCTCAAAAGAAAAGATTACTCTACTGAGACTAGAAAGCCTTAAATTTGGCCACCACTAAATAGTAGACTTGATATGATCAGTAAAATTGATATCATTCACTCCACCTTCATAGTCATGCATGACAGTTGCAACCAAAAGTTAATTTTCACTAACCATTCCAGTCGTTGGACAGTCCAAAGGTGACATGCAATCCATTCTCCTTTTTGATAACCACGCTTTTTAAAATTTTCTTGATAAAAGTGTTTTGCAACTCCACCTAATTTCACACTGCTTCTAAAATTTGGCATCCCATTTCAGTTGTCCTTACCAAAACCCCTAATCCAAGACTACCCTGCAAACCTCTAAGGTACAGAAAGCAAGCAAAGTGAGCATAATGTAACAGAGCAAAATCTCTTAGAACTTTACAGTTCGGAGGTTAAACTTCCAGATATACTGAACTAACACAAGTAACAAACTAAACGATCATCTCAATATGATAACTTGCATAATACATCAATTTCAGACATATTACATCATTTTGCAAATTATGCTCTTCAACAGTGACGGTCAATCCTCAGCTATGATGGACAGCCAACATAAAATCTTTTTGCTTTACAGATACAGTTACGAGACATTATTCAAATGGAGAGCACAATTAACCACAAAATCAGATGAACGTCATTAAAGAATATATAATAAAAAAATAATAATAATAATAATAATTTTTATTTGTAAAAAATTAGTGTGCTGTGTAATTCAACCAGATGTCAAAAATGCTCTCTTGGGAAATGTGCCAAGTTTCTCCTCTCTCTCCTCTTTTCCTCCCAAAGCTCCGACATAGCCTTTTCCGATGAAGCACCTATCTTTGCCTAGCTATGGATCGGGGACTCACTTTTATTTCAAGCGAGAAAACTTTTCAATTAGTTAGTATTAATGAGGAAATTGATAGATGGTGTGTTCTTACAGAGCGCAGTAGGAGATTCACAAGCAAGATTAAGATTAATGAGAGTAACCTTCGATGGGTATGTGAAGCTCTGATTCAAGCTTCGCTACAGACCGGTAACAAGTGCAGGAGATGGGGAAGGAAGATACAAGCTTATACTTTCAGAGTAATACAGAATTTCAATAGCTATGGGAGGTTTGTCAGAGTCGAATCTATCTTAGGGGAATACAAGGCTGCAATTATTATTCCAGAAAGCAGTTACAATAAAGGATGGGGAGACATAGCAAGGAAGATACGAGGCTATTTGGGGGCTTATGTGGATCCAAGATTTTATCTTGCCGACGAGTCCAGGTCCTATATGGAAGCTGCAAAGATTACTCAATGGCCATCAGAAGTCGGTGCTGCAGCAAGGCAAAATCAGGGTCCAATGGTGGAGGAAACTGGTAATGAGAACTTCTTGTCGAAGTGTCTCATAGGTCAATTCAACGACCCCTTCAACTTTAGCCCAAACTCGGTGGTGATTCAAAAATGGTTCGCTGGCAAATGGCAGGTCAGCAGTCAGCTGGGCTCAGAGTCACGCCGATCAGCCATAATCAGTTTCTGTTCGAGTTTTCATCCAGGCTAAAGGCAAACAGAATCATAGCTGGTGACTGGTTTTGGAATGGAAGTATATTGTCCCTAGAATGGTGGTCTCCGGTGGCCGGAACAGTGATGACAACAGAAAAATCAGAGCATAGATGGGTGAGAGCCTTCGGAACCCCACTCCACGCATGGACTTCAAATACATTCAAATTCATCGGCGATAAATGTGGCGGTTTCGTCGGAATTGATAAAGATACCGAGCATAAAGTGCATCTGTTCTGGGCTCGTATTTGTGTGAAGAATAGTAAGGAGGAACTTCCAAAATATCTGGAGTTGATCAAGGAAGACTGGGGCTTCAAAATTTCATTATTAGAAGACCACTTTACCAAAATCAGGCCGGCCGGAGCTTCTTCATTCGGCGGAGCAAAAGGGTCACATGCAGAAGCTGGTACCTCGAGCCTTGCACCAAGAGCAGCAGTCACGCACGTGGGAGGAAACCCTAGCAGTTTTAATTTGAAAAAAGATGTACCTGTTAAGAGTAAAGGTTTAATTATACCAGTGGATAATGAAGGGAGTGGGTCCAATATTGCTATTAAAAGTTTGGGCCTGAAAGCTGACCAAAGTTATTATAAAAAGGTCCCAAAAAGAAGAGCCCAAGTGAAGGAAACAAAGTTATTACAAGAAAAGATCATATGGAGGGTTGTTGGCCACAAACCCAACCCTTATGTGAATAAGTTTAACGCCTTGGTTGTTCCTTCTCTTGACTCCGAAGAAATTAAGACACAGGAGCCCTCCATAGCTCCCCTGCCAGAGCAAAACTCAGACATTCAGTCACTCATATGCCGATGACGAAGCAACTCCACATCCAAGAATCTATAAATCACTACGCATCAATTCTCAGAATATGGATTTGGTTCCGGTAAGCAGTTTTGACAGACTTCTCCTCCCAAGCAGTCTATGAAGCTCTGCCATTGACATGGTACGAAGGGGAGCCCAGTCAACAAATTGATAAACCCTCCATTATCGAGACCTCAAAGTGGACTAAAATTACCATGGTTAAGGCATGCAAGGCTTTCGGAATTAATGCGGCCGGGTTCGAGCATGGTCTCTTAGGTTTAATATTGCGAATGGAGCAAAGGAGACAAGCTCAAATTCAACAGCAGGAGTCACAACAAAAATCAGGGAAAGGGGAGAAAACTAAAGGAGAAGGGAAAGAAAGAGATTACTCTGTGGGATCAACTATGACCGAAAAGGGCAACATGACAGTGGGTCAAGGGGTAGGCACTACAAATCCTTCTCTGGATGAAGCTTAAAATCCTGAGTTGGAATGTGAGGGGGCTGAATGAGGAGGAGAAAAAGAGAATTATTAAATCTCTCATTCAAAAATAGAGGGTGGATATCTTATGTCTGCAGGAAACAAAGATTGAAGACTGGTCCAACAGATTGACTCAACAATTATGGGGTAACAGGTGGACTGATTGGGTTGAATTGAAGGCAAGTGGAACTAAAAGAGGGATTGTAATGATTTGGGACAAAAGGCAATGGAACAGAATAGACACTCATCAGGGTTACTACTCTATTTCATGTATGCTTGAAAGCACCCAAGAGGAGTTTAGGTGGTGCTTCACAGGTGTCTATGGACCTCACTCTAATCCAGAGAGGGAGGTGATGTGGAATGAAATTGCAGGTGTGAGGGGACATGGGAAGGACTCTGGGTCATAGGAGGTGACTTCAATGTTTGTCGGTTTGAAAGCGAGATATTGAACTGTACCAGAAGATCTAGAGCTATGAGATCATTCTCTGAAATGATACAAGACCTTGATGTCATGGATCAACCCTTTCAAGGAGCTCATTACACCTAGTCAAAAGGTGACAATTGCATATAAGCTTCTAGAATTGATAAGTTTCTTATCCGCCCTGAATGGAATGATTCATTTAAAGATGGGAGACAAATTGCTCTACCCAAGGTGATCTCAGATCATTGGCCAATTTTATTGGAGAATGGGACTGGGATGCAACCCCTTCTTATTTCAAGTTTGAGAACATGTGGTTGCAGTATGAAGGTTTCGTTGAGAAACTAAAGAACTGGTGGCAGAGCTACAATTTCTTTGGTAGAGCAGACTTCATACTCTTGCAAAAGTTAAAAAGCTTGAAAAAGGACATCACCCGATGGAACAAAGAAGAATTTGGGAATGTAGAAACCAGTAAAACCAGTGCTCATGATGAGCTAATGATACTCGAACAAATGACAGAAGGTAGACAATTGACTGTAATCGAATCCAATCAAATGATGAGCCTGAGAGTGGAGCTTTAACAGCTAGCCAAAGCATAAGAGATATCATGGAGGCAGAAATCAAGGTGTCAATGGCTTAAGGAAGGTGACAGGAACACTAAATATTTCCAAAAGATTGCAAACTCACAAAGAAGGAAAAACTGCATAGACAGACTCTTAGTTGACAATGAAATTATAAAGAATAAGGAGCTTATAAAAGAGGAGATACTGGACTTTTATGGAAAATTATACACAGAACATGAGAATTGGAGACCCTCTATAAACTTTGAAGGCATAGCAACCATTACAACAGAAGAGACGAATGATTTGGAAGCACCTTTTGATGAAGAGGAGGTACTAGCAGCTATTCTGTCAAGTGCACCAGACAAGGCACCTGGACCTGATGGGTTTACTATGGCCTTTTACCAGCATTCTTGGGAATTCATCAAGCATGACATCCTCGCAGCCATGAGTCACTACCATCAGCATTATTGGATGGTCATGTCATATAATGCTTCTTTCATTGCATTAATCCCAAAGAAAAAAGGGGTAATTAAGGGACTACTGGCCAATTAGTCTCATTGGTAGTGTGTATAAGATCATGTCCAAGGTTCTTGGAAAAAGATTGAAAAGAGTGATGGGGAATTTGGTGTCAAACCAGCAGAATGCATTCATTAAGGGGAGACAGATTACAGATGCCTCACTGGTAGCAAATGAGGTTCTTGATTAGCAATTGAAGCAAGGGGTGCAGGTATCCTATGCAAGTCGGACATTGAAAAAGCTTTTGATCAAGTGAATTGGTCATATCTCATTTCTATCCTCAGGCAGATGGGATTTGGGGAAAGATGGATTAAATGGATTAAATTTAACATGTCCACTGTCAAGTATTCAGTTCTGATTAATAGGAGTCCAGCAGGTTTCTTTTCCCCTCAAAGAGGCTTGAGGCAGGGTGACCCTCTTTCTTCGTTTCTATTCATATACTTGCAATGGAAGGACTGAGCAAAATGTTGCACAAAGCTAAGCAGATGCAGTGGTTGAATGGCTTTAATGTAGGGAGGACTCGCACAATCAACATCTCACATTTGCTATACGCTGATGACACCCTGATTTTCTGTGGGGCAGACAGAAATCAGGTGCTCTATTTAAATCTAACTCCTCTTCTTTTTGAAGTTGTTTCAGGTTTACGCATTAACATGCTCAAAAGTGTGATTTACCCTGTAAATGAGGTACAAAACCTAGAAAAATTGGCAGAAATACTGGGTTGGCAGGCTGCACTATTGGGACCTTCCCAACTACCTACTTGGGGCTCCCTTTAGGAGCTAAATTCAAATCAGAAGTTGTATGGAGTGGGGTCATTGAAAAGTTTGAGAAGAAGCTTGCTTCCAGGCAGTTGCAGTATTTATCTATGGGTGGCAGACTAACTTTGATCAATAGCGTTCTAGACAGCATCCCTACCTACTATATGTCATTATTTCCAATTAGTAAGGTTTTGAAACAGCTTGATAAAATAAGAAGGAATTTTCTATGGGAAGGGAATAGCAGTGATCACAAATTTCACCTAGTTAAGTGGTCCAAAGTTTTATTACCAAAGCACCAAGGTGGACTGGGTATCAAGGATTTAGCTTTACAGAATAAATGCTTATTAATGAAGTGGCTACGGAGGTACACTCAGGAGAATAACTACATGTGAAAGGAAGTTGCCAATGCCAAACATGGTGTACAGAACCACTGGTGCACTAAACACTCAAGAGCACCACATGGAGTTGGAGTTTGGAAGCATATCTGTAAACTCTGGGAAGAGTTCTCACAGAATATGCACTTTGTAGTTGGGAATGGACATCATATCAAGTTCTGGAAAGATAAGTGGCTAGGCAGCACAGCTCTAATGAATGCATATCCTGCACTATACCAGATAGCCATAGAGCCTGACTCAACAATATGCCAAAACAGGGAAGACAACACTTGGAACATAATCTACAGAAGGAACCTACAAGATTGGGAATTTGAGGAAATGCTCAGACTACTGGCCACTCTAAATGGCTTCTCAAGCAACCAATTAGCACCAGACCATGGGGAACTACACAAGCAGGAAGATACTCAGTGAAAGCAACCTACAAGTTAGCCGGAACTCATAATGCAATCACTGCCAGTGGCCATGGAAGCTAATTTGGAAAGTCAAACTACCACCTAAAGTTATCTGCTTCAACTGGACTGCACTTCATGGAGCTTGCCTAACACAAGATAACTTGGCCAAAAGGAACTTCCCTATGGCTAATAGATGCTTTATGTGCCAGAGGAATGCAGAGTCGCACATTCACCTCTTTCTACATTGCACAGTTGCAGCAGATCTTTGGAATATGTTTTTATCTCTTTTTGGACTCAAATGTGGCATGCCACAAAACTTCAGGGAAGCTTTTGAGAGCTGGAGCCTTTGGAAAGTTGATAGCTCCATCAGGAAAATATGGAAGATGATACCTGCAGCCATTTCTTGGACTATCTGGAACGAAAGGAATAGAAGGTGTTTTGATGGGATATCATCTGTTGTCCGGTCTCTCAAAGCTGTTTGCCTAGTGTATATTTATTTAGTTGGGCTTATCTAACCCCTGTAGATTCTCCTGTTAATTATCTAAACTTTGTTAGCTCCCTAGTACTAAAGCTGATTTTTTTGCCTTTTTGTATTGGAGCTAACAATTTTCACTACTTGAGTAACTATTCTGCATCTTCTTGATGCCATCAATGAAGCCAATTACTTCATCAAAAAAAAGAATATAAAAAAAACTATGTTGAATAGCATTTGGATGCAAAAACTTAAGAACCAAATTTGGATGTCTTACTGCTTAAATGCATATCAGAGAACTAAATTGGCTCCTAACAGTGGCCATACTTATAAACTTGTCAAGAACCACTTTGTCGAAAAGATGCCTAGTCTCAAAAGTTACATCTTGATCATGATCTTTCAACCAACGGATCTAATTAACCATTTTTTATGAAATAAGATTCTTCATTGCAGGCTCCAGAAGATGCAAAGTTACAAGAAGGAATTGAGTTAGCTCCATTACAACAAAAGACTTAATTTGCTTAGGGAGCTAGCCACAAAAAAACAAAAGTAATTGATCTAATTAACCTACTTCTTCCAAGGAGTCTTAACCCTAATTCTTGATGCAAAATACTGCAGGACATCCTTCAGTGGACTTGCAAAAATATGTAGGCTATTGACACTGTTAAAGTAAAACTTCAAAGCCAAGACATATTGTGACACTTCTACATAATCTCATAGCAAAGATGGCATCAAATCGGACATCACATCAAAGCAAATGGACATCGACAGGTGGATATGGAGAGGGCAGAAGGATAACATCACAGATTGTTGAAAAGGGAGTGCAAGGAATTTACTTCTCAATATGGATCCCTAGAGTGCCAACTAAAGCTTCCTTTTTTACCTGGACAAGAGCACATGAAGCCATCTTAACAGTGGAAAACTTTACGGGAGGAGGACAATCCAAGTTCGTTGGTGCGTCACGTGAAAGCAGGCAGGGAACCATAACAATCACTTATTACTTCACTGTTCTATTCATACAGATTATGGTATACTGTGTAGAGCATATTGGGATGTGGTATCGATGATTCCAGTAACTGTAAAGAACGGTGCTTCTAGGTTAGTAATTCAGCAGGAAGAGATGGAGGCACATGAGAAGTAGCTCTTCTAGTTTCATGCGGACAATAGGAAAGACAGAAATATGTGGGCGTTGGTAGGGCTAGAAAACTTGTTCCCATTGGTCGGTGAAACGGTTTTGTTTTTTTGAATATCTGGAGCACCTTTGATATTCCGATTAGTGTTGACGACTGGATGTCCATTGTATAGGGTCATGCCTTCTAGTAAGATTCTCCACCTTTTATATACACCTTCATTTATGGGATTTTCCCTTTTTGATGATAAAATTAATAACTTCATCAAAAAAAGTGGAATATCATCTCAATGCTAAACAATCTCCACTAGCTTACCTATTAGAAAAACTTTAACAATCATACAACTTGAAATATCAAATACCTAAAACGAACTGAAAAACAAAATACTCCCACTATTAACTCTCTCAAAGCCTTAATCCTCGATTCTTTCCACTACTACTTATTGCATCTAGTAAGATTTTTCTACAACTGTGCAACTAGACAACTAATAACAATTAATGAACTATAGAAAACGCAAATCTTTTGCAAGAATGCATTCTATCAGCCTGACAGAGAAATCAACTACACAGATCAAAGCCCTTTAGCTCTGAAGAATTACTTTAGAGCTGGAAAGCAATTTCCTTTTTTAGTGCAATGAAACATAATATCCAAGCTACCCAATAACACAATCTTCCATCTCACATTTGTAAAACAATAACATATTTACTAAAAAACATTGGACAAAATGAAACAAATTAAAAGGAAAGGGGATAAAGACTGACATGTTTACAAGGGATGCCAAGTTTCTTGAGCTTAAGAGTGCGAGTAACAAGAAGCTTCGAGAAATCTCCAATCTCAGATTCTAGCTTCTCAACGTGAGTCTCTACTCCCTTCCCCACTCCATTCAAGAACTCTGGTATCCCTACCTTCACTGCACCCACCATAGTTTGTGTTAAAATTTCACAAAGATTACAGCTATATTAAATTCTCAAGGGTGAAATTGAAATACCTATGTAAGGATTGGATTTGGAGGAAAAGCTAACGAACCCAGTTGGCACCGACGAGTTTGAAGGTGCTGAGATTAATCTTCTGTTGAAAAATAGAATTTGCCTCCACGCCATTTTTGTGACTCCTGGTGGATTAAGCTTTTACTTGTACGTGCATTTAGATTCAGCAAATGTTTTCCTCGCCCGGCTACTGTTCGAGGTTTATGTTCAAAACCCTCACACCAGTGTGCAAAGATGGTGGAACCTGAAACGACACCGTCCTAAATTTTCTTTTTCATGAAAATTACCAAATGTATAAGAGGGAGAAAATAACAAAAATGGTCTCTTATGTTTGGGGCAATTTTAAAGAAGTCCTTTAGGTGTACTTTTGAGCAGTTTTGATCCTTACGTTTATCAAAATTGAGCACTTTTGGTTATCCTTCAATATTTAACAAATTTTGGATAGTACATTCAAGGGGAATTGTGGGGAAAAAAGATTTAACCAAAAGCAGCAGAAAATTCTTTTCAAATCTCATATTGCCATAAAATAATAGCACCAAGTACTAAAAGTAGATAAAAAATAGCAAAAAACTGCACAGACATCAGAAATGGACCAGGATAACAGAAGGCAAAACTTGCACCTCATAATGTGATTCCCTACTAAATCCATTTTTCAAGTTCATGCTAATTTAACAGTCAAAGTTTTGTTAAATATATGACATGAATAAAAAAATGTTCACTTTTTACAAACTTAAAGAATCAAAAGGAAAATGTTAATCCGCTTCTGATTAAAAGAAGGGAAAATGACATTGTATAGCCGCTCTTAAAATAATAGTCGAAAAAATATATACTTATTGTATATTTTTTGTATATATATACATTATGTATGTTATATACAAAAATTATACAAATTTTATAGTATATTTTTGCGGTTATTAAATGTAAATAATTTTTGGCGCAGGCTAAAAGTGATAATATCCCTTAAAAGAAAGTAAAAGAACTAATGGCAATTTGATGTTGTAATCCGCTCCAAGGCCCAATAATATATTGGATATAGATGCATACTCTTCAAATGCATTTTGGACTAATATGATACTAGTAGGATTCAAAAAAAAATGGATCCAATAATCTCTTTGAGTAAGGCTTTAACTAGCCACATATGTGTCTTTCTTTAAAATTGTACATTAACTATACATATATTATATATCAGATGGATATTTTTAATTTAATTGGTTAGGTGGGCTGTTATTTGGGTTAATTCTTCAAAAAAAAAGTTTCATTTCCAATATCTTCTAGAATTCTCCAATTATCTCTATTTTTGATATACATGTTTCTCTCCTTGACGAAGACAGTTAAATGTATAGCAAATTCTTAGAAAATAGTATATAGAAATGACCAAAAATAAATATTTTGGAATTGGAAAAGTCGCCATAATGAATGACTTGTGACAATTGCCCTAATGTATAGAAATGCCCTTTCAAAGAATTTGTTCTTCTTCTCTTTTTGTCATGAAAGATTAAATTCTATTAAAACTAAGCGACAAGTATGGGGGCTGACAAATGAGGCTTGCTCAGTCGGTAAAGCTCCTGGGTTTGAATAGACTATAGAGTGACACGTGGAATCGGGGATAGACGAAAGACGAAGCGAGTGAAAACCAAGACCGAGGACAACAGCTTCGGTTGGCATCTGATAGACCCCGAAGGGAACATTGCTAACGAGGGCAAACGAATATTTGCCACCGGAAGACATTCAAGGAAGAATATTACTCAGTATTAAATACACAATCCGTTACAGAGAATTTTGGCATTCATAGCCTGTCGTTACATATTTATCAATGGCCCCATTATTGTCATTTAAAAGTAGCTTGATCCTAGGACCTTGTTCCCTATGTATAGCTATAAATAGTGACTTCAACGTCATTGTAAGACACGAAATTTCTGACAAACTTATGCTACACATTATTTCAAACTAAATAATACATTATTTTCTGTCTAACGGTATTCTTGTTGTCTTCGGAAGCATTGCTCCCCGAACCAAGCTCTCTGCTATTTTATCTCGATTTCAACGCTAAGTCTTGTATTTTATTTAATTTATATATTATTTTGGATCAAATCGATTTGTTTGTCTATAAAGTATAAACTACGTTATAAATTCAACTGTACCGTTTTACGGGTAAACATAAACCAGAATCCTGACTAGTACAAAAAAGGTGATCCTGTGTAGGTACATCCTGGGCATTGTGACAAAAATTTGTAGTGTTGTTCAATTCGCTCACTAACAGTTCCTCTACCTTTAAATTCGTTATTCTTCATTTTTGGTTAGTTAATTGTTATTTGATTTACGACCTGGCTTTACCAGAATTAAGCATGTATTTTCACAAATCTGTACAAAATATTCTATCAATATTTATCCCACCTGGTTGGCCTGGGCCACAGAATTAGTGGAAGAAAAAGATGATATGATTGGGAATAGCATCCTATAAAGAGACAATGCAAACTCTGGATTTGGGGAATGTTTTAGCCTTTAGGGGGAACTTAGCTAGCCTTTTTTAGCGGCTCAATTAGCGCGATTACGAATCCAATACCAAGACCACTCACAAAATTGTTTTCCTATCATTTACGTTGACAATGCTCCATACCAACTGCAAATTGAAAGTTATTTTTCCAGCTAAAAGCCATCTAAGTCCAATCTCTAAAATTATTTAATTTCGCGGTAATGGGGAGAAAAGAATACAATAATCTGCGTAGCAATTCACAATATGTTTATTTTAGTTATTTGAAATTGTGGTCAAGTCGCGTGGACGCGCATTTGAGCTGGGATTTACGTATCATGACCATGCCACGGGAATCATACCCACAGTCACGATGATTTATTAATCGTGCATAAAGCAAGCTACGAATGTTCATAAGTTATTGTCCTAAACTAATTTAAGATTCAAATGTGAGGTCATGAGTTATGAAAATTTATTGTGGAAGAGGTGACCTAGATCGTAGCTTTATTTGCGATGGGTTGCTAAACAAATTGTAGTCTTCCTCTCTCATAACTATTTAAAACTTTAACAAAAGAAATCAATGAAACCAATTAATAACATATGTTACTTCAATTTAACCAAACAAACAAGTTATAGCCATAAATGAATTCACAAAATCCTCTAACGTGAAACAAAACAAAATGCTAATTAAAGAAACGACCAAACAATAGTCTTTTGATCCTCTTGACCCTTTTCAAGTTATTAGTTTATATCTTTGTTTAACTATCAAGTCATTCTCGTGAGTAGACGACCTCACCTCGACAATACCATAAGAACCAGACAAACAAACACCTCAAATATCAGTATTCATCAAACCAATTTTGAACGACATAGACCAACTAATTACTAAATAAACAATTAACAGAGAATAATTAAAGCATGGAAGGAAGTACTAACTAAAGTAGAAATGGACCTTTTAGCCAGAGATTCCTTTATTACTTTGAAAATGAGAACCTCACAAACAAATCGACATGGCATCAAATGTACAAAAAGAAAACTCTCACGAACTCGACTTGACTGAACCTCAGTTTTTTAGCGACGTTAATGGAGCTATTTCATGAGGAGAACTGCTGCGTTTTTGTGGGTGTTTAAGGGTAGTTTAACGCTCATTTGGAGCTGCATTTCATGGCTTTGGGGGGCTGGTTTTGGGGTGTTTTCAGGTGGAAAAGGGGCAGCGTTTTGGATTATTTGCTCGCATCTAGTGGCTGCGTTTCTGCTGCTTGTTATGGATGGACTTTGGAGTGGTTTAAGGGAGCTTTAAGAACTGACTTTAGTGGCTGAAAAATGGAGTTTTTGTGGCTGATTTTCAACAGTAACGATTCTGCTTTGGGGCTAATTTTGCAGCAACTATGGGGGTTGTGTTGTTGGTGTTAAAATGGCACTTTTGTTGATCGTTAATGTGCTGGACTGGAGGAAAACTCATGGATGACTTCAAACTTGACAGAATATTTACAAGACTAAAATGCGAAACTGTTCCTACGGACGAAGCTCCATATGCGACTAATTAATTACAAATTAGTAACACAACAACCGAAACTAATAAATAATCTAAACTCATACATATTACGAACTATTAATTCTAGACTCTAAACCTCACACCGGGCTATTACGAAGTAAATTTCACTGGGTTCCATGGATATTTGCAGGATTTGTTAAACCAGATAATCGAGCCGGCTTGAATGATAATTAGCTCTGCGATACATGACCCTCACCATAACATTCAGGTGATTCCAACCAACTTCAAGTCATTAAACAACCCAACTAAATCTACCAAAGCAAACAGGAATTGAATTTTGGTTTCCACTTTCAAAACTCATCAAGTAATGATAACGAAATACACCAGGACACGTCCAATTTCAATACAAACATGTCATGTTATTATACTTAGCATGTTCCGAAATTACAGAGAAGACAGTAGGTAAAATACCTGGAAGAAGTAAAGAGAACTGAGATTTGGACCAAATAAAGGTCAGAAAACCGTAGATGGAGCTCAGCTACTAATAAACAAACAGCAATATAGCATCAAACTTGAGCTAGATACATTTTGAAAACCCAGAAATATGAATGCAGAAGAAGAGCCTTTCCATCCGCTGTGTGATTCCCCTTTTTCTTTAAATTTTGTATCTCAAATCTCAATTTGAATTTTTCAAAATTGAATTCTTAGCTATTTTGTGTGCTTGTGTGTGTTTCCGTTTTTTGAGAGTGAGGGTCTGTTAGGGTTGGGGAAAATGGGTAATGGGTATGGGCTCAAAAGAAACGGGGTTAAAAACTGGGCCATACGTTGGCCCAATCGAACTGACGAGCAAGAAATGGCGTGGTATAGCCACTTTTTTAAGTCGTATTTAGTTTTTAGCCAGTATTTTTAATGTTGAGCAAAACTAGCCACTACTCTATTAAAATTGATACAAAAAGTCATTTTTACCCTCTCTTCATGAGTGCTATGTAAATATTAAGGACATGGTGTCCTTAATTTCATGAGTGTTGTGTAAATATTAAGGACATGGTGTCCTTAATTTCATGAGTGTTGTGTAAATATTAAGGACAAACCATGTCTTAATATTTTACACATCACTCATGAAGTTAAGAACACCATGTCCTTAATATTTTACACATCACTCGTGAAGTTAAGAATACCATATCCTTAATATTTTACACATTACTCATGAAGTTAAGGACACCATGTCTTTAACATTTACACAATACTCATAAAGTTAAGGACACTATGTACTTGACATTTACAATGCACACATGAAGTTAAGGACATGATGTTATTTTTCATATGGTATCTATTGGTGATTCTGATATTGTCTTTTTTCGTCTTTTTGAGTCGATGGTCTTTCGGAAACAGCCTCTCTACTCCCTCAGGGTAGGGGTAAGGTCTACGTACACATTACCCCTTCCCAGACCCCACTAGTGGGATTTCACTGGGTCGTCATCGTTGTTGTTGTTGTAAATGAAGTTAAGGACACCATGTCCTTAACAGTTATGCTGCACATATGAAGTTAAGGACATGATGTCCTAAAGTTTAACAATAGAAGATGCAAATGCAAGTTAAGAACATTATGTCCTTAACATTTACATTGCACGCATGAAGTTAAGGACACCACGTCCTTAACATTTATACTGCACATATGAAGCTAAGGACATGATGTCCTAAAGTTTAACAACATAATTTGCAAATACAAGTTAAGGACATTATGTCCTTAACATTGACATTGCACACATGAAGTTAAGGACATCAAGTCCTTAACATTTACACTGCACATACGAAGTTAAGGACATTGTGTCCTTAACATTTACATTGCACACATGAAGTTAAGGACACTATGTCCTTAACATTTACGCTGCACGTATGAAGTTAAGGACATGATGCCCTAAAGTTCAACAACAGAAGTTGCAAATACAAGTTAAGGACATTGTGTCCTTAACATTTACATGGCACATATGAAGTTAAGGACATCACGTCCTTAACATTTATACTACACATATGAAGTTAAGGACATGATGTCCTAAAGTTTAACAGCAGAAGGTGCAAATACATGACACTTTGTCCTTAATATTTACACAACACTCATGAAGTTAAGGACACTATGTCCTTAATATTTACACAGCACCCTTTGACACCACGTCATTAACATTTACAATGCACATATGAAGTTGAGGACATGATGTCCTAAAGTTTAACATCAGAAGGTGCAAATACAGGACACTTTGTCCTTAATATTTACACAGCACCCTTTGACACCACGTCATTAACATTTACAATGCACATATGAAGTTGAGGACATGATGTCCTAAAGTTTAACATCAGAAGGTGCAAATACAGGACACTTTGTCCTTAATATATACACAACACTCATGAAGTTAATGACACTATGTCCTTAATATTTACATAGCACCCATGTCTAGCACAAGGGTATTTTTGTCTGGATGGGTAAAAATTTATTAAGCACTTGCTAAAGAGTAAATACATTTAAAATAGTGGCTAAAAAGTAAAGATATCTCTAATTAGTAATTATTTGTGCACTTCCCCCACTAACGAGTTCATCATCCTCCTTTCTTCTCTGTTGTCGCGTTTAGCCACCAATTAACTAACCTAACATGTAAAGCTAAAAATTGCAAAATTAACTTAGTTAATGATTTATCTAACAACTAGGTTAGTTAAAGTGTAAATTAACAATCTAAGATAATTAGTTAAACTTAAAAATGTTAAAAAATAAAAAAGATTAAAGCATTTTTGATTTTTTGAATTTTCTAGAAATGCAACTAACATATGATTAAAATCTTGAATTATAAAGAGTAAAACATAAAATATTTTTTTTGTCATTTTTATGATTTAGAATGTCACTAAATATGCTAAAAATTCAAATAAATGCCAAACAGATAAAAATGAAAAATAAAGAAAAATTCTTAAAATTCCATAAAGTCAATTAAAATTATTTTAGAGTATTTTTAGGAGTAATTTAGTCGTGGGGCAAAAATTATGTGCTCACAATGCATCCAAACTTCTGAAAATGATGTATTAATCATTTTTGTTATACTTAATTAGTTGTTAATAATTAACTGTATTATGAGAATCCTTACATTAATTTGATATTGTGTGTTGCTTCCACGAGACTCACTATTAGCTGTTTTTGCTTTGGCCCGTGTTAGAGATATTATTCATTTATTTTTTAGCGTATTAAATTCTCTTCATTTAATTTTCATGTTATTTCAAGTTAATATTTACAACATACATATCTTCGCACGTATGATAATGTTACCTAACAAAAGAAATTATTAATGTGCTTTATACTGCAGGTATAATTGCATAGTCTCTGCGGTTGAATTAACATTGTTAGTGTGTACTATTTATAACTTAGTACTCTAATTTGTTTTATACAGTGTACTTGATAACGAGTAGAAAAGGAAGGTAGTTATTTGTTTTATAAATAAATAATTATTTTCTATGTGATGGAATTTTGGATTGATTAATTCCTAAATAATAATTTCTTAAAGTGATTACGTGGTGTCATTTTCATCTTTAGAAGTTGAGATTGGGCTTGACCGTGGCACTATTAGGCCTTTTGTTAATATTGGATTGGGCTGGTTAGGTCCTTCCTTGCCCATTTGACACGTTTGGCCGTACTCGAGAAAGGCGCACTCATCATCTTGGCATGAGATGATGTTTAAATATAAATAAGAAAAGAGTACTTTTATAATTTTCCAGAAGAAAAACGATGTATTTTTATAAGTTTCCCAGAAAAAATGGATGTGGAGCTTTTAACAGTGTTAGTGTTCATTTTTATTTGTACTCCTTCCACAAGCAATACTTGTCTAAGTTTTATTTTGACATATATTATACGATGAAAATATATATTACATTCGTTTCAGTTTATATGAATCTATTTTTTTTTTGTCCGTTCAAAAAAGAATGACTCATTTATAATTTTAAAAATAATTTAGCTTAAACTTACAATTCTACCTTTAATGAGAAGCTTTTATAACCACACAAATACTCTGGGTCCCTTTTTGGATTGTTTAGGACCACAAATTCCAAAAGTTTTTATTTTTTTCTTAAACTTCGTGCACAGTCAAATAAGTTCACATAAATTAGAACGCATGGAGTATTATATATTCGCATATTATTTTTAATTTAAGAGATTAAATAGATAGACTTCTTTTACCTTTGTGAGACTATTAACTTGAGTATGTGTACCAAAAAATAATTCCTAACTCCTATTCATCTTTTGACTTTCTTTTCCAAGTTAGGGTTGGTAAGTTTCAGTATCAAACCTTTCTTTTTGCCCTAAACAAACACAAAAGAGGGAAAAAAAAAAAAGACAAAGAGGACTTTTACATTATTAGTGATTCAATAGGTTATATCTAATTAATTAGTACACCCTCTAACTCACTTTAAATGATTTTTTTTGTTATTTTTACACATAGTAAGTAATTCACCTTTTAGCATAAATTGATATCAAATTAACTATATTAATCTTAATTTATTTATTGAAAAGATAATAAGTACTCCGGACTTTGTACTCCCCCGAGACTTAATTTATTAATTCCTTTTTGATATCTAAAAAAAAATATTATGAATCACAAAAAAATATCAAAAAATTAATTAAAATAGACCGGAGGAAGTACTATATTTACTATGTTATCAAATTATTCTCCAGTAAGATTTTTGTGTCATAAATACTGCACACTACTTGTGGTAAGAAGTTAAATTCAACAAAGAACAGTACTTAAATTTTACTGCACCAGTAAGATTTTTGTGTGGAGAAAAGAAAAAATAAGTTCGAGAACACGCATGTCTCCCAAAGACCGGCAACTCAAGTTCTCCAACGTGAAACCTCAATAATATCTCATTGGGCCCCTTTTTATTTTTATTAATTAGCAAGTGTCCTACTTTCATTTTATAAAATTAAACAACTAGTACGTTTGATTTAATTACCACGCAATACCACTTTCTACTTTGGACAATAGAAATATGCTGCTTAAATAGTAAAATATTTATTTTTGTACTTTGCTCCTTAAGGTGGCATCCAATGATCCAAAGCTCCTTTACTTTATGTAATTAAATGGAAAAAAGACCATCTAATTAATTGAAATTAATGAAAGTTGTATTATTCTAAACTTTGTTCTGTCAACTTTGTAGATTCTCACAATTATAGAAGCTGACACAAGTGCACCGTACACGTGTATTATAAGGTACTAGAAAAAGCCAATTTATTACTTGTGATGAAATCAAGCCTAAGGTTCTTTTTCTGATTTCATTGATTTTATTTTAGAGTATTTTAGTGCAGTTTTGATTTCGAAGGTAGAGAAAGTGAGACATTGCATGTGCTGCCTTTCTCTTGTGTTCTAGACATCAAGTAGCACATGAATATTTTTTTTTCTTTCTTCCGAGATTCTAGAAACCAATCTGGTCAATTTTCTTATTTTGACGAATTTATCTTTTGCATATTAATAGTGTAAAATTTTTAATGGCCTTTAAAACATCATTGGACTATAAGAAATTGCAATAACATGTGTTTTCTATAATTAGTCAACTTTGATAATTTAAAAACTATATTAAATAACATCTAATCAATTCTATACTGTTGAGATTCACATATTATACGAGAATGTAAGTATTATTTTATTAAAAAAATTATAAGACTGTATCTACGGATAAATCTTTTACCGTGAGGATTCATATTGTAGATCTATTTAAGATTGAGG